ACAGTACGTATAACTATTAACAGTTAGATTGTGGAGTAATTACAGAGAAAAGGGACTTGAAGATTTGGGGAGAATATTCTTTCAATATTTATTAAGCTGAGTGTTCAAGTACCTGTGGTACAATGAAATGGAAATATCTAGTAGATTCCAGGATGTATGAATCTGGATTTAAGAAGAAAGACTTCTTTAAGAATAAAGACTTGGGAATCGCCAAGAATAAAGCTGGTAATTGAAATTATGAGCATAAACAAGATTGCCCAAAGAGTTCTTGTATAGCAAATAGAGCAGGTGGCAGACAATAAAATCTTGGGGAACAACAATATTTATGGAGCAAATAGTCAAAGGGGAACAAGCCAAGGAAGTGAGAAGAAAGTGAGAGAAATAGGAGAGGCAGCAAAGTATCCCAATGCAGACACCAAGGAAGGGTCTTAATATGGACAAAATGGATGTTAAGTGGGATGAGTAAAAACAGCCTCTGGATTAAAAATGATAACATCATTAGCTTCTTTATCGGTAGCAATGTCAATGGACCAGTGGGATCAGATGCAGATTGCATTTCAGAAGTGAATGAGAGAGAAGAAAGAAGCAGCAGTGATTCTTTTTCAATTAATTTGGCAGTATAAGAAAGCAGAGGGAGAAGGCAACAATAGAGATTGTGGAGGTGGGGACAAGGGCAAAATATTTTGGTTTTTCTTGGGTTTTTTTGTTTTTTGTTTTTTTAACATTTGGGTAAAATTGATCATGGGGTAAAATTTGATCATGTCTGCAAGTGAAGAGGAGAAAGAGTCAATGAAGAGGGAAAGATCTAAGATCCAAGACTGAAGAATTAAGCTGATCGAGCAGGTCTCTAAGACCGTGGAAATGAAAGAGTGGTAGAAAGGTTGTCCTTTCCCTGGGAAGGTAAGTAGGTATTCTTCTGAAACTGGCAAAGGGAGGAGAATGAGATGAAGGTTGTCTGAGATATTACAGATTTGTTTAGTAATGGTGGGCGGGAAACTGAGGGAGTCCAAACCACACACCACTATTTTTTGCAGTGGAGTAGGAAGTTAATTATCTGCTCAAAATGGATGTTCAGGGATGGTGTGAGAAGCCCCAGCAGCCACTAAGATAAAGAAACAAAGCTCATGAGTAAAGACACCTGCCAGAAATAAATCCTACCAGTTTTTGCCCTCAGAACAGACCCCTGGCATGAAGAACTAGACGCAGGGGTCCTCAAACTTTTTAAACAGGGACCAGTTCACTGTCCCTCAGATTACTGGAGGGTGGATGGAGTGTGCGGGCGCACATTCCACACATGTGCACTGTGGGCCCAGGTCGAGTCAGCTGCTAAGCAGGACAGGCAGCGGAGGCAAAAACACCTGGCAGGCCGGATAAATGTCCTTGGCGGGCCCATGTGGCCCGTGGCTGTAGTTTGAGGACCCCTGATAGAGTCTCAAACTGAATTGAGTTAGGAAGGAAGATCTAGTCAGATTTCTCCTCAATGGAGACTAAAATAAAGGTCTAGGGTAGACTGGGGGTGTCCACAAATTATATTTAGTTCTGACTCAAAGCAATCTCCCCACTGGATTTAAAAGTGGTTTTATAAGAATGGAAGCGGTCAACTTAGAATTACAAGAGGTGGAGCAGTTTAAGAATTATGGCATTATAAGCACTTAAAATACATTAAGTACCACCAAAGGATAAAAACAAAATATCTCTACTGTCTATAAACTACTTTTTAAGTTATTAAGAAACATACAGTTTGGAATTTGTCTCTCTGGCCAAGAGGGCCTTACAAAGCGCTTAGAGTATAGCATTGGTTCATATTTGTTCAACATGAAAAAAGCAATTCTGACAGATCCTGCACTTGCCAAACCCTTTGCCTTGCCTTTTAACCTACAAATGTGATATGTATTCAAATATATATATTACTTCTCTTAATTTAAATCTCAAACCCAGGTGTTTACCAGATTCTGAGTCTTATGCAACTGTTCCATGGATTTGGAAAGAAATATTCAGAGGTAAGTGTAGTTCCTAATTCCTGTTTCAACTCCAAGTAACCACAAAAAGGAAAACCCAGGTTCTATTGTATTAGTCAAATTTCCTGGGTGCCCTATATTTTTTACTTTAATCTACAATGATTTTAGTAAAATTGATCCAATGCTATTATTCTGGTTCTTTTATCATAGAAGAAATATCTTCACTAATATACAAAGTAACTTTATGATGGATAACCAAAGAGCGGGTTATATTAAACTGAGATATAAGATATGAAAATACAAAAATCATTACCTTGTATAAAAAGCTAGCGCAGCAAAGACCTAAGACAGGTAAAATGGCTGTATGAAAACTATGTCACAAAAAGAATATTGCTGTATTTAAAAACAATGCCTATACTAGCTATAGCTGAATTCACATCAAGGAATGCAAATTTAGTTTTGGTAATATGAGTGATTATTTTGGACTTTGAATGTTTATCAATTTGGGGGGAAAACAACTATTTTTCATCTTTAGAACTTGGCCTTTCAAATCTCCATTAACAACTCAGTAGCAAAGATAAAACATCTGCCAAAACACAGATGACAGCATGAGCAAGTGTCCTAATGGCAGGCATTTAGTGTAATGCTTTACACACTGCTTCTAGACTGCTGGGGCAGCCCCATTAATAAGTACTTTTAAATAGACATTTACTTCCTTAAAATGGCAATTTGTATTTAAAAATAATATATTCTTTAGGAGAAAAGAAAACAGTTTCATCTAAACAAACCAAATTACTACTAGACTGAGACAATAAAAATGTTTTTAAATTTACTCATGTATACCCTTGATTTTAAATACTCGCTTTTAACAAAGAAAAATCAACCATTAAAAAGACATTTCATATCACTATTTTTATTTATTTAAGGCTTTATTTACTAGTTAGTGAATACCACCAAAACTGTTGTGCTTTTAAACAAAGTATAATTGGACATATGGGGAAACAGGGAAGAAAGGAACATGGTTAATTCATTCCACATCTTGTAAACCGTTACAGTGGGTTGCAGATTGCCTGTAACTGGATGAGACGGGTGTTTGAGGTAACTTCTTTTACAGCAGAGGTCACTGAAACCACAGAGGTTGCTAAGAAATGGCCTGATTACCAGTGCTTTATAAATGAAACTGAAAGCAAAACCAGACTTCAGCATTAACGAATGTACAAATCTATGCCTTTCTTATTCAATCTAGATCCTAAATTCAGTCCCCAATCCCTTGGTTTATAACTACTTTTGTTCGGAGACTATTAACATCTTTTCATACATGGTCCTTTTGAAGCTACATATTAAACACACACACAAATCTATTTTATGACAGACATTATCATTTCCTCTTTTATATTGCACACTTCAAAGAACTCAAATGCATGTCTATTTTTTCAGGTTAATATTAGCTAAGCATAATAAAATGCTATAAATTATGAATTCTATGACTCTGTAGGGATTTGAACACATTACTATTGTGTGTAAATAAGTGCTAATTATATGTGATCTTAACTATTACTAAAGAAGGCCTAACAGAATTCTTGTCCCCCAAAGTACCATTCCAACAGTTCTAATCTACTTGAAAATAGGACCCCTGTTTTTAAAAACAGTACATGGTTTATACTTTTTACAATTCAGACTGGCATTGAATTAGTGATAATGTATTACAAATTTATATTTGGTTCAATATGAAGGCTTCTGACTATACAACAGATACCTGAAAACAGTATTATTTTTAGCTATAATGACAGTAAGGGCAACAAGCATACTAAAGATAATGACAGGAAACACTACCTAACACCCAGCATTTAGATAATAGAGATCTTGATTATTAACAGCTCCAACATGCCAGGATGCTTGGAGAAGGGGAAAAGTGGTAAGCAGGGACGTAAGGGCATCTTGGAAATCGCTCAAAGTCACAAGCCTTTACGAACACCACACAGGCTAAAAATCCCTTTAAAACCCAATTAATGTAGCATTCTAGGATAAATGTAACAATTGTTGTTACTGGTACTCATGCGCAATTCTAAATCTTAGAAAAAGTTCACAAAAGGCTCTGTAGATGTGAAATGTGACAGGCACTGTAGTCACGAATATCCCTATTCCTTCCTCATTTTTTACAGATGAAGCACACGTTTTAAGAAAACAAAACGAAATGGATTCCAAAAGCTTGGGGTGGAGTGGGGGGCTGCTCTGGCGTTGAAAGACAACAACTCCCACTCCGCTGCACATGTGTTTCGACTCGAGGTTACGATCTTCATACTGCAGGTGAAATCTGGGTTACTTTCAAAAAAGGTTTCCCCAGATAAAGTGGGAGAACTTCAAGGCACAATTTGGAACGTTATGTATTATCGTGGCTGATGGGGCGTGGGGGTCACGAAAAGGAATGAGTTTCCAGGAAGCTCATTTCTAGGATTAAAAACAACAACAACAACAAAATACGTGGCCGGAAGATTCTTCGGATTGAATGCCGAGTTGGAAATTAAACTTAATTGCGTCCTCCACTTCCCCTTTGCTCTCGCATCCAAGCGGGAGGCAAACGGCAGGATCCCCTTCTTGTGGACTTCGCCAAAATGCGCACTTCCATCGCAAGAGGCCCGGCCTCCCACTCTCCCTCCCGCACCCCGAAGGCGTGCGAGCGGGGAAGGGAGAGAGGTGCGAAAGAAGGGGGTCCCTGTCAACTACCACCCCTCGCCTCCGGTCGCGCCTTTTCTTTCCCGCAGTTAATTTTTGCGCGAGGTGCGGTTTGGAATCTTCCTGGATGCGTGTGTCTGGAGACAGAGATGGGGCGAAGGCGACGAGCCCCGCTCTCGCCCGGGGGAAGAGGAGCGCGGAGGAAGGAGGGAGGGAGGGGGCGCCCGACTCCCCGCGGGGCCCTCCCACGTCCCGCGCCCCTGCCACCTTCTCCCGGGCGCCGCCAGGCGGGTCGGGGCGCAGCCCACACTCCCGCGGGGGCGAGGAGACAGCCGCCGCAGGGCTGGGGGCGAGGGAGCCGCCACTCACCGCAGCACGCCGAGGCCAGCAACAGCGCCGCCGCCAGGGGCCACATCTCCGCGCCCGCCGCGGGGTAGCAGCCGCCGCAGGTGTCTGGACGGGCAGTCGCCGCTGTTCCAGGCAGGACCGACCGCCGCCACCCGTCACAGGCTGTACCCGCTGCCCAGGCTGTGCGGCCGCGCGCATGCGCGCTCCCACCGCCCCCCGCTTGCTCCCCCGCCCGCTCTGGCCGCGCACGCGCACTCGGCCCCGCCCCGCCGCCGCGGCGCTTGACGCGGCTCCCTCCGCACTCGCGGGCTCGAGTCCCGGCTCCCACCCGCTCCGCCGAGGCCGTCTGCCCGCTGCGGGGCGGTGTCGCGCGCCCGGCCTCCTGGTCACGTCCTGCCACCCTCTGGGTCCGGGTCCTCGCCAGCGCGGGAGGCTGAGCGTGTGTTCCCACGCTCGCGGGGGACCTCACCGCAGCGCCTCTCTGCGCGGTCCCCTTCCAGCCTCTCGCACAGCCCCGCGCGGCCCGTCCTCCCGCCACTTTTCCTCTCCGTGCTCCCGCTCCCACCCTCACGCTTCGGGGACCCGGCCAGGCGCTGCTCCCCGCGAGCGCGTAGCCGGGCCCCGCGCCTGTCGCTGGCCTCCCTCCCCTCCCGCATCCGACACCCGCCTGTGCGCGCCGACCCGCGCTCCCCGCGCCCCGCAGCCGCCGCCCGCCCGCAGCGCGCCCGCCGCGGCTCCCTCTCCCCCGCGGGCGGCGAGCCGAGGGCCGGGCGCGCGGGGTGGCCGGGCCCTGCCCGCAGGGGGCCTCCGCTCCTGCCCCCGCCGGCCCGCGCCCCGCCGCGCCAGCCCGCCCTGGCTGTGCTTGCGTCCGCGGCGGTTCTTTCCCCCTTTCCTCACTTGGTTCTTTAGAGTCTTCATCCTCTGAACAGGGTTAACCAAACAAGTTCCATTCGTGATGGTAAACATCTTAAAATGTGGCGAACACCGAAACCGCAGGGACTGTGAGGCTTCATTGCGAACGGGCATGAGCAGACACATCCATGACATCCCTACCAGCGGTGTCATCGAGCCTGGTTTGTGACCGCACCGTGTGCAGTCTTCTGCGCTGTTTGGGGTTTAACATGGTTGAAAAGGGGTTCGAAATGTGGCTCCAAGCCACAATGTGGACAAGGCCTTTGAATATATCGCTGAATCACACAGGCCACATCATTCATATGGAAGCAAAAGCCCTTGTAAAGCTACCTTTAACATTTATCCTAATTGATGAACTCTCTTGTCAAAATGTTAAGCTCTGGTGCCTGCTCTAATGGGGTTAGTATCTTGTCCGCTCTCTTGGTTGTTTTTCTCTTACCTGCTGGAAAAGAAAGCAATTTCCCACCATAGTACCCCACTTCTGCAAATCCTAAACCCACCAAAATAGCCCACTTCTGCAAATCTTATACCCAGAGAGTCTCCTCCTAAGCACTCCATTGTCACAGTAATAAAATTCAGAAAATAAAATTTCTGCTGTCTGTGATACTCTGTACCAGTGTATTGTATACTATAGAGCTCGCTCCTGTTATTGTGTTATGTGAACATCTTCCCCACAGCATTATCAATTCTTTAAAATCAGAAAGAGTAGTTTAAGTATTTCCTCCTCCAAGACTTTCCCCTGAACTGGGCAAACAGAAGGAGTTTAATAAATGTGTCGATGTGACTTGAAGCAAGCATTGCTCTAGTGAAATTTGATTGTTTTTTTTAATGATTAAAAAAAGAAAGAAAAACAATTGTCTGGCAGACATCTCACTAAAACAATGCTTAATAATTATGGTGGTAATGATTTGAATGGCAGCCCCGACACCCTGAGGCAACCAAAGGGACTGATCGATTCTCCTCCAACTGCTGCTTATATGGACACAAAAGAATCATCCACCAGACTTTGAGCATTAGGGACATTGTGTATCACAGAGCAGCTGGTTGGCTAAATAAGGCTGTCAGCTGTCCCTGAAACCAACCAACCCCCCTAAAGCTGACGAATGACTAGAAAGGACTGTCCCCAACCTTCAGAGGTAGAAATCGTATGATGCTCTATTTTATACTGGGAGCTACTGAGGCTATAGGCTTAATGTCTTTTTATGCAAAAAATGGAATGAGCTTAAGTCAGGTGAACCCCTGCTCTTGGGAATCTAGCTGGGATATGTTTTGGGGATGGGGGAGGGGGCAAGAGGAGGCCTATCCCAGGAGAGACAATCCAAAGCAACCTGCCTAGGTTTGGCTGTCTTCTCTCTGAGATAATCTTGAGCTTCTTTGTCCAGTATCTAACCATTTTAATGGTTTCCCTTTTAACGTTTCCAGGCATTTTTATTTGGATGTCGAGCTCCTCTTTACATCTTTACATAAGGGGTTTACTGGGGAGAGGGAGGGGATTATACATATTAGGACATTTTGAACACAGGTAGTACACATTAACCATATTACTTAAATTAATCTTCATAACAGCTTCAGAAAGGCTAAGCATTATGATCTCCAGTTTAGAGATGAGGAAACAGGAAGAGGCATGATGCACACTTTGCCTGCAGTTATTTGTGATAATGCTCTCTTGTGTATGCCTCTCTTCCTGGTCCTCTTTTCTCTACTTTTTCTTTTTAACCTACAACATCAAAGTTGTTATAGTTTCCCCTTTATAGATGAGTAAACTCATAACCCCCAAAACAATCATTGTTATCACTTTCTAGATGAGGAAAGTGTGTCTTGCTCTCAAGCTCTGGGAGCGGCTGCAGTTGGACTGAAGTCTCCCTGACCAGTCTCCCTCCCAGGTGAGTGACGGCATTCACAAGCTTCCTTTCCCAATTCATGACCTATTCCCCTTTGCCTCACCATCTCAACAATATATCTACTTTTATCTCTCTCCCCAAACTACATCTACATCCTACCACATAGTAGCTATCCATATGATATTGTCTGCAAGTTTATATAGATACATTTATATCCTTATTGTAATTTTTCAATAAGCAAATATTTTTGGCCCTGTGTTGGTATTCCATGCAATGGCAAGAGAGACAGAGTACTGTCTCCTGGTACTCTTGAGAGTTGTCTTAGACCTGTATGTGCCTAACTACTCAAGTCCTGTGCTTTGTGTAGGGCCAGATACAACTTCCTACTAAGTGAACCTACAGAAAGATCCCATAGCAGACCAAATCCCAAGATAATGCCAGTATAAGTAAATGTCCTTCTCTCTCTCTCTCTCTCTCTGTGTGTGTGTGTGTGTGTGTGTGTGTGTGGTTTTTCTTTAGTCTTGTTTGCTGTATATCAATTACCATATCATATTGAAATTATCTGTTTGTATGGCTGTCTTCCTCTCTAATAGTAATTTCTTCTTACACTATAAGCTCAACGAGGGGAGAAACCATATGAGTCTTGTTCCCTGCTAGCTTCATTGCCTGGCACATAGTAGGTGCTCAACAAATGGTTGTTAAAAGTGTGAATGAATGAATGAGTAAATAAATCTCTCAAAGTCAGGATCTGTATCTTCCATCAGTGTCTGGCAAAGTACCCAGCATAAGAGGGAGTTGTGTAAATATCTGTGAAGTGAACTATTGAACTAACCCTGAAGCTGATCTGACATATTAAAAGTTCTTGGCATCAAGTTCCTATTTTTGGCTTATCAATCATCAGTTGGTTGCAGTTCATGAGTATTATCTCTTTCTTCTTAGTGTCTCTGATAATGCTTTTTTTCTTTTTTGTAATGAATATCTTATATTTTTAACAGTACTGGCCAATGTAATCCAAGCTAACTTCTATTCCATGGTCAGGCACACTTTACACTAACAACACACTAGATTATTCCATGCCTGGACTATTCCACCCTCAGGTGATCATGCTTCAATCATGCTATTCTCTCTGCTTCTCATGTTCTTCCCCATGTTTTCTTCTTCTTTCCTCAACCCAAGGAACGCCAACTCATCCTTCAAGGCCAAGATCAAACATCACTTCCTCCAAGAAGACTTTCTCATTCCCTCTCATTCCTTCCTTCCTACAACTTTCTGCTACTCCATGGGTCTAATCAACTGTCCTGTGCTGCTTTGTTCATACTGCTTAAAAATGTGACAATAAATATTTGTTTCTACAAATCTGTCTCCTTTTCTATCATGTTAGCTGGAAGAAAATGAAATTTGTCCTGGGTATACTTGTATCATTGTATTAGAAAGGTTTTTCAGAGAGACAAAACTAATAAGATGGATGGATATATAGAGCAGAAGGGATTTATTAGGGTAATTGGCCCCTATAATTGTGGAGGCTGAGACATCCCACGATAGACTATCTGCAAGCTGGAGACGCAGAGAATTTGGCAGTCTGGCTGTCCCAAGTTAAAAGGTCTCAGATCCAGGGAAGCCAATTATGTCACTCTCAGTCTGAAGCTGAAGACCTGAGAACCCAGGGGGCTGCTGGTGCAAGTCCTAGAGTTCAAAGGCTGAGGAACCTAGAGTCCTGATGTCCAATGGCAGGAGAAGGGTATGGGAGCTCCAGGAGAGAGCGTGTGCAAATTGGTCTTTCCTCTGCCTTTTTGTCCTATGCAGGACCTCAGCTGATTGGATGGTGCCTGGCCACGTTGAAGAAGGATCTTCCCCACTCATTCCACCAACTCATGTGCCCATCTCCTCTGGAAGCACCCTCACAGACACACCCAGAAATAATGCTTTGCTGCCTCTCTAGGTATCCCTTATCCAGTCAATTGATGCCTAAAATAAACCATCACAATCTCCAAGGTCTAACATAGTACCTAGTGGAGACCTAGGTATGTCAAAATAATCAAGAGAAATTACAGTGCTGTATACAGAGTCACTATGGCCTAGGTTTGAGTTAGAGTTTAAACCACTTACTACCTGTTAACCTTGGACCAGTTACTTCAACTTTCTGAGCCCTCATTTTCCTGTTTGTAAAGCAGGGCAGATGAAAATAATAGAAATTAACTCTTCAATTGCCTTGAAAATTTAACACGTTAACACTTTTATAGTTGCCCAGTGCCTAAGGCACAGTCAGCACACAATAAATATTAGCCTTTATTATTACAATCATCATATATAGTAAGATTGGTCTCCTAGAAGGGCAGCAAAAATTATCAAAAGAATCACTGATCGCTGGTCAGGACCCTCCAAGGGGCACTGTGAGCTGGGGAAGTGTCAGCAGTTTCAATTCCAGCTAGACACACATGTCTTGTGCCTACTGGAAAGCCCT